CCCCGCCCCCCTCTCCCCTCCCCCCCCCCCCCCACTGTGTCTCACACAACACACACACACACACACACACACTCCAGGCCTTCATATCCTGCCTCTCTTTGGGGAGTGGCTTCCCTAGTTTTCTCTCTCTCTCCCCCCCCCATCCTCCAGAGCAGATGCTCCTTTTATTGTGCAACCCCCAATCCCAGGAACCTGAAATAAAATATGGGCCATGCAGTCTGGTTACCTGGAGGGGGGGGGGAATATCTCCCACCTCCCTACTTTATAGGACATCTTACATCTGAGCAAACCTTGCACAGCCTCTCCATCTGAAACACACCTCCCAGCCTTGCTTATAGGATTTCCCTTGTTTGCTTTATTGTTCCTCTACTCTCTGCTTAGACCTTTTTTGATTACGCTCATTATGATGACTGTTCTTCCTGCTCTGTCTTCCTTTGGAGCCCATAAACTGGTAGGGGGCATTAAATTTCCTGCCCTGAGACCCTCTCCCCCCCCCTCGCACCTCTCCAGGGAGATGGAGGGCCTGCTAGCCAGAATCCGACTTCCATCACAAACAACCCCCCATGACCACAAAGAAAAAACCACATTTAAAAAGGTCGTCACCCCACAATTCGGGGTCAAGCCCCTGGACGGTGGGTGCCCTATTATCTATATGGGGTGGGCATCTCTGGGCAGATGGGGGGGGTTTCTCCCTAGCCACCTTAACCAAGGCAGGCATCAAAATGCCCTGTGTGCCCATTGTGTGGTCTTCCATTCTACCCTATTGCTGACCCCCACCTTACCCCAAATTCTGAAAAAAGGGGGGGTTGCCTCTCCTCCTCCATTCCTGCCTTTTTTATTGCCGAGGCTGGCTTGGCCCTGCTCTCTACTTCAGATGCCGGTGGTGAAGGTCATTTAAGGTCACCGGGTAGGAAGCCCTTTCTGGCCAGGCCTTTGTTTGGGGGGGGGGCTCGGAGGAGTGCACGTTGTTGCAGAAATTCGTGTTCAAAGCTTTCCCTTTCTCCACGCTCATCATCTCCCCCA